ACGCTGGTGCAGGAGGCGTATGAGGAGGCGGCCCTGGGGGCCTCGGAGCTGCAGCAGATCACTATCCCCTTTGGCGGGACGACTGAGTACAGCATCATCACACCCATCAGTGAGGAGAGTCAGGCTCCGGGCACGCTGTACAGGTCAGCTATGGGAGGAGCAGGGAGATGGAGGCACTGCTGACCTCAGATGAGGATGTTTTAGTGGTGAGGAGGACGAGGCAGGTCCTCCCTGACCCCGTCCTCTCCAGCAGCAAGGAGGAGAGCCCTGCGGAGATGTACCACGCGGTCATGGTGGGTGAAGCTGTGATGATGGAGGAGGCCCTGAAGGACCCTAACAACCACTACATCGTGTCGTCTGGTGTCCCGGGAAGCCAGATCCATCACATGGAGGTAAGGAGCTGAGCTTCCTCCCCGTCTCGCATGGCAGTGTGAGCAGGTGTGACTGGGTGTTTCTCCCGCAGCCCCTCAGCGGGGACGCTGCCCTTCCCTCTCCTGCGGAGGGGCAGGAGGCGCAGCCCACCGACGTCAAGTGGCCCGTGGTGCAGTGTGTCACCAGCCAGCTCCAGAAGGACTCGTCTTTATCCCCAGCCTCTGAGGGGCAGGAAAGCTCATCCCCAAAGGTCAAGTGGCCTGTGCTCCAAGGCATGGCCAAGAAACTCTCGTGCAAGGTTTCCACAGCCAAGAAGCTCTCGTGCAAGATTTCCACAGACAAAAAGTTTTCATGCAAGATTTGCACAGCCATGTTCACCGGGAGAGCAGAGATGGAGAGTCACAAGAGAGCCCACGTTGGGCCCAGCACCTTTAAGTGTCCCGACTGTCCATTCACTGCAGCGTTCTGGCCGGAGGTTCGGGTAGGTTCCTTGGCACAGAGCAGCGCTGGGATCGAGAGGTTTGGAGAAACGGGGACTTCCTGACGCATGCGCTTCTGCCCCCAGAGCCACATGGTCCAGCACGCCAGCCTTCGGCCACACAAGTGCATGCACTGCAGCTTCGCCTCCAAGAACAAGAAGGACCTGCGCAGGCACATGCTGACGCACACCAACGAGAAGCCCTTTGCCTGCCAGATCTGCGGGCAGAGGTGAGTGGAGCCTGCTCGGTTGTTGCTGCTTCAAGAGGTCCTGTAGAGCTCCCCAAGGCCCAAGAGGAGATGAGATATGGGCAGAGCTGGCTGCCCCAGCCTCCTGGAAGGGCTGTCCCTGGTTAGAGGGGATCTGCCCCTGAGGACGGTTCCTGCTGCGGGTGGACCTGGCTTCGTCCCCAGGGAACTTCTGCATGAGGAGTTTCAGCACTTGGGTGCTGATGGGAACGTTTTGGGGGCTGGGACAGGCCGTGTCGTGGGACTTGCTCGTTGCCTGGGTCTGCAGAGAGCATAGAGGCCCCGTTCTGCCCCCGGCAAACAGCACCTCGCTCTGTCCCTCCCGCAGGTTCAACCGCAACGGGCACCTCAAGTTCCACATGCAGCGTTTGCACAGCTCGGAGGGGAAGAGGCCGGG